GGTTTCGGAGTTCTGGGTCCGTCAGCTGGTCTGTGGCTTCCTTTAGGGGCTCGAAGGTGACCCAAGCTGATCCTTGCTTCTTTTTAGTTCTCCTTTCAAACCGTTCTCCATGTTCATCGAACGCCCGAGATACACGTAAGAAGACGTCTCCGCGATTGGAGAGCCTTTTAATTCCATTTCCTGATTCTCACAAAAAGCGTTTTTCATGAACTGAGTCTTCTTCTGGTTAATTCGCAGTCCTCTCCGCTTCTCTACTCCGTTTAGTTCCTTCAAAATCGTCTCCGCATCAGTGATACTCCTCCGAGAGGAATCTCTCATCAACTCGTATAACTCCCTCGTTCCAATCAAGTGATTTCATCACCACTGCAACGCAGCGGTAAACAGCTTTGGCGACACGGTGTCGCCTTGTCGAACCCTCTTTGAAATTGGTATGTTAAGGGGACGATGCTCCACTGATGTAGAGCAGTTCTTGTAGCAGTCGGCCAATGTTCTCACGTAAGATGGGTCCACTTGGTCGACAAGCACTGCCAATAAGGCATTAGTCTTGACGCTGTCAAACGCTTTCTCATAGTCAACGGAGGTTAGGACGAGAGTTAGGCGGTACTCTTGACATCCTTGATAGTCCTCGAAACCGTCTGTACGTAATTCACGCAGCTGAATTTCTCGCAAAATCCAGCTTGTTGTGCAGGTTAAGCTTCATCCAGTGTTACGACATGCGAGTGAGAATAATCTTGTGAAGAGCTTATATATTGACGGTAGTTCCGAAGATACTACCGCACTTGTTATAAAAAAAAGTTGTTTGGGACGTACTCCACGGATCCTTTCCGAAGGTGAGAAGTTAGATGTTCTGTAAGTATCAGGTGTAGGCGATGTCTTCTAGCTCGTAAGAGCTCTGTTAAAGCATGGCTTGGTCCTGGAGCCGTAGCTGCGTTCGTGATCTGGATTGCGGCGCGTACTTCAGCAGGTAGAATCCGTGGTGGTATTTTATGAACGAAAGAGATCGGTGTAGAATCTCTCCGCGGTCGATTCCATCTTCTGCCGGGAAGATGTGCATCGTGTCTTGTTTAGTAATGTTGTCAGTGGAACACGATAGTCGAGAAGGTCCCTGCGGCACTTCTTTAGACTTCTTCTTCCTTGTGCTGCTTCTAAGGGTTTGATTGCCTGTACTTTCGAAGATCTTCTTACAAAGCTGATCTGCAGCTGGTATTGGTTAGTCGCTCGAGATGTAATGCAGTCGGATCTTCTTTCTCTCTGACGCCGTCATATACGACTTCTCTCCTTTCTCCAGCACGGTGGTAGATCCTCTTTTCCAGCTTTCCTTCGCGTTTGCTCGAAGGCGATGATCTGAACCATTGTCAAAGGATGATCCACTGAGACGTCCAATAAGCACCGCCTTCGGTTATGTGGAAGATTTCCGCATGAGTCGTACCGTTGGGTGGCCCATGTCCATCGCCGGTTTCTTTTTTCATGTAGATGGAGTTGCCATGAAAAAGTCGTGCGACGGATAAGAACCCAACACTGTTATCATTTTCATTCCGGAGTCCTGATCCAAATCTCCCGATCCTTGCTCCCCTCACCCCGATTTTCGCATTGAAGTCACCCACAACGAACTTATAGAAGGAGTTTTCTCTGCGGATAACTTTCTCCAATTCCTCACAAAAAGCATCAAGTTAATCATCAGCTGCTGATGTTGGAGAATAGCAGTTAGTGATGGTTTTCCGATGCGGAGGACGGAGTCGAAGGATAGCCAGGCAAGATGATAGGATCTCATGCGAATCGACAAGATGGACAACAGATGGGTTACGACGAATTTAAGGCCTCCAACGTTTTGTGATGGAACTTTCTTACCTTCTTTTTTCGATTGATGAGTTTGCCATC